AAGTGATTTGGGGAAAAGTGATTAATAGTAAAAATTGGTAGTGTTTGAGAAAAAAGTGATTCTGAAAAAGTAAAAGTTGGTAGTGTTTGGTAAAATAAGTACTTTTTGTGTAATAGAAAAAGTGAGAAGCAGTTTAAAGCACCCTTCTACCTGCTTCCAGCTTTTAGCTTTTAAGTGATTAATTTAAGCAGAAGCTGTCATTTGAAAACACTCTTTTCAGCTTTTTTAAGCCAAAAGCTAAAAAGCGCTTTTTTAAGCAACCCCAAACACTCCTTATGTCTTAGATTACACATTGTCATCATAGCACCATGCCTCATCATACCAGCCTGCCATAGGCCTAAACAGACCTTCCAATTGGCCATCACAGCATAGAACAAGACCAAACACACATACATAGCATCCAAAGTCCTTCCAATTGGTCATCACAACATAGAACAAGACCAAACACACATACATAGCATCCAAAGACCTAGGCTAATGCTTGGTAAGATTTGGGAAGGTCATCATACCAGCCTGCCATAGGCCTAAACAGGCCTTCCAATCGGCCATCACAGCATAGAACAAGACCAAACACACATACATGGCATCCAAAGTCCTTCCAATTGGTCGTCACAACATAGAACAAGACCAAACACACATACATAGCATCCAAAGACCTGGGCTAATGCTTGGTAAGACTTGGGAAGGTCATCATACCAGCCTGCCACAGGACTTGCTCAGACCTTCCAATTAGTCATCACAGCATACAACAAGACCAAACACACATACATAGCATCCAAAGACCTGTGCTAATGCTTGGTAAGACCTGGGAAGATCATCATACCAGCCTGCCACATGCATTGCTACCCCAAATATTCATCACATATGACAAGCAACAATTTCAGTCCTAAACACACCATATACTCATCATTGCTACCCCAAATTTAAACATTTTCACATAAGAAAAGGAACATTCATGCAACGAAGCAAAATGAGTCAAGCATAATCACATAGGAAGACTAATTAAGAAAGAAACTTCCATGTTATGTGTCGATGTCCCACATTCTAGACTCCCAGCCAGTTATAATGATTTTTAAGAAGGCCTCAAAACGGGGATTGCGGAAAGGGTGGTTTTGCACCTCTCTCCGTCTTCTTGCGGCTTCAGACTCTGGAACTTCAGCCATCTCCTTCTGCTCTTCACTGTCCGTATCACATCCATCTCCTTCTGCTCTGGAAGTTGACCGTGTTCGTACAAATTTTCTTCACTGTCCGGAACCACCAGCTCCAACGGACCTTCACCGTCTACCTCTTCCAACTCCTCTTCGCTATCCGGAACCACAAGATCCTCCATGCATTGATTGTATTCCACCGGATCTTGACCAAGGGTTCGAGGGCTTGATTTTGCATCCATGGAAGTCAGAGTAGAGTTTGAGAATTTCAGAAAAGGAGCAACAATTAGACGACGAAGGAACTAGTGGAATTGAAATCAGAGATGGAGAGAGTTTTATTCCGTACAACAATGGAGCCGGTGGAAGACTGAAGGAGAGGGAGATCGGAACCGGGAAAGAGAGAGAGAGAGGGAAATGGGTTGATTAGGGTTAGATGTGATAGGCCGCAGAGAGTATAGAGGTGGGAGGATACGGAAGTGAGAAGGTAAAAAATAAAGAGCAGTATAAGGGGGTTTTAAGGTGGGGAAACTTTCCTTTTTTAGTAAGTGGGAAGAATTTTTTGGGACCGCCCAAAAAGGAAAGTGGGAAAACTTTTATGGGACGGAGGGAGTATTATATTTGATTCAATTCCTCTTTCAAATTTTAGACATGTATAGTATATCAATATCAATTTGTGGTATTATGAATTCATCTAATTTTTACTCAGTATAAATTTCTTAAAAAGAATTGGATCATGCAAGTATTAGCATCTACAGATCTACTTAAGTTCATTGCATTTTAACAAACAATAATTTTAATGAGACAAACTTTAGCTTTTTCAGTGAAGGAAATTTGTTAGTGCTAAATGACCCAATTTTTATACGATTCATCGAGTTTCAATATTTTCTGTTCTATTTCTTTTTAGTCTAACTCAAGATTCTCTTAGAGTACCAGCTTAAATTTATCATTAATGTTTGGTTTGTTGTTTTTTTAGTGGGATATTTTTTAAAAAATCACTAAATTAAACTAAGTTCTGTTGTTTATCTATTAACAATTGGTTGTTATCATTAACCTAACGTTTGGTTTGTTGTCTAATAATACTTCACAAGTTTCTGGTATATGAATGTTCTGTGGTTCATCTATTTTACAATGACATTTTTCTATGCTTTGATTGTGTATTTTCATACTTCATATTTTTTACTAAGGGATCGAAATAAAAACTTATGGATTTCAATGATTAAAAATCATTTAACAAAGATTTGAAAACCATAACATTTCTCCTATTATATTCTTTCTTTTCTCTTTCTTTTTTCATTTGTTCCGAATATTATACATTTATCATCATTTTTCGATTTATTTGTGTTACATTTAATATTTTTTAGGTGGCTAGATGCTGAGATGTCTCATTTTGATGATGGGAACTCTAGAAAGAATTGAAGTGCAGTGTCCAATCTAATCCTAGAGTTAAGCGTATATTTGAAGCACATATTATAAGGCTTCTATTTTGGGCGGTTAGATGTATTCATCTTTTGTTGTTGGAACAATATACGCATTGAGAATCTATTTTTATTTATTTTGAAGTTTCGGCTTTATTTTGGGCGGTTACATGAAAAACATACCATGTTCTCTTTAGAAACATTGTATCTACGTTGCTCTATTATACTTCGTATGTCATAATAATAACTCCCATTGATTTGAAGGTTCTTATGTGTGACAATTGTTGTATATCAAGAAAATTGTCCAATTTGGGAAAATTCTTGAGATAGGAACTGAGTAAAAAAATCTTGGAAAATCCAAAGTAGAAGTAGCATTCGCATATTTTATTTTTCAAAATAGGTGTAATTATTGCTAAATTAAGAAATAATTTCACGTTAAAATTCTAATACTGTCAACATGACAACATATGATAATAATTACTTCTATTTTGAAAAAAAAAACATGATAATCATATCTTGGAGTTTCAACATATGTACTACTATTGAGGCTAATTTTTCATGAAATTCAGTGTTTAATATATTTTCACACATATTTATTGTATCACTTTTATCAGATTTCCTATTATTGTTATATTTACTTTAATTTTTTATACGGAGTAATAACAATATGTTTGATATAATCACCCGTGCATCGCACAAGTACTATACTAGGTAATTGTTAAGCACAATTATTAAACTCTTTAATAACTAAACTTAGATGAAAGTGCAAGTTTATGAAGACAAGAGAAAACAAGGAAAAACAAGTCAAACTAAATGGCACCATGAGCAGTTTTCTGGTATTGAAATTAGGGACAAAAAACTGATGTATCAAATAAGGAGTAAAATGCATTGCTTCATGCGGTCTTGTGATAGATAAGGAGGGTGATCAGGGGCGACCTTAGGGGGGTGCAGCAAGGGCGGGCGCCCTAGGCCCAAAAAAAGTGTAAAAAATTTAGGCCCAGTCTTAAGGCTTTGTATTAATAGTGAGTAGGCTGAGATTTTATGCCATATCCACTAATCTCATGCGGTATAGGGAAAAGAGTTCTGAAGGCGTAAACATTTTTTCTAAGAAAAAGACAGGACTCTCTGTTGGGGGGCTTGTGCCCATCACTGAAGCGTCATTTAGGCCCTCACTTTTTCAAAGTTCTAACCTCAATATTCCAATTCCTCATTATAAACTTCTATGGGTCAATGCCCAATAGATCATAGATGGTGGATACATCAACTTCTTGAGCCTTTTATCCTTCATAATCCGAACATAGGATTCTATCTAACTCCTGATAACCTCAAGTCCTCTATATCTTTTATTACTCTTATGTCTTTGTATATTTTGCATTTATGCTCTTCCTTATTTTAAAAAGAGTTATCATAGATTTTTTAGTTTTCATTGAATTTACTATTTTGTTGATTCGTCACTTAGCTTTTGACTTATTGATCGTGAAATCTCATGATAGTTTTAAGTGTAACAATTTTTGTTATACAAATATTGATTAAATTGACTTAATGATCTTGAGTAAAAAATGGATTTTCATTACATTTATAAATGTAATAAATCTCAAGGTGTAACAAAAATGTTCTCTATCTATAATTTTACTTGCTTAATAAACCGAATTATAAAAGTCTTTTCTTTACTATACAATTTTTGAAGTATTATTGTTATGCATTATATTAGATTAGACAAAAAGGAAATTAATATTTTTTTTAAAATTAGGCCCATTATAAACTATTTACCCCTAGGTCTTGAAACTATCAGGGCCGCCCCTAAGGATGATGCTGCAAAAATACAATGACAATATATTAGTTTTAAAGAATCTTTTAGAAGGTAAGAACAAGAGGAATGCTCAGGTCCATCCGGAGGGACGGGAGGCTCTGTCCGAACTTTACTTTTTGGAGCCCTTCCTGATGGAATTTTTTGATGAAATTTTTTGAGCATGTTCTTCATGAAGTCTAGTTTATCCATACCAAGTTTCAGTTAAAAATTCAATCGGATAGACAGTCAAATGATTTTTGGAAGTTAACTGTGCACTTTATATACATATAAAAACACAGTCATCTTCCAAAAATCATTTGAGTGTCTTCCCGATTGAATTTTTAGCTAAAATTCGGTATGGATAAACTAGACTTCATGAAGAACATGCTCAAAAAAATTTATCAAAAAATTCCAACAGGAAGAACCTCTGATGGTCTCGGCCGGACAGAGGCTTCTGTCTATCCGGATGTCCACCGGGAACAATATCAGTTTTAGTAAAGTTATTATTAATAGTTATGAACAACAGTAACAAACTCATTTTGTTTAAGAGCACAACATGATAAAAAATTTAAAAATGAACAAAAAAATTAGTATTTTAATTTGAAGATTGAGATGAAGAAACAAAACCAACTCAATGAATTTTTTAGTGGGAGAGCTACAAACTATGAGTCTGAATTTACAAGGTTCCTTTTCATTGAAGGCACTTCGAAGAAGAAATGTTCATGTCCAGTCTTCTATAGTTGAACAAAATAAGGTAATCACGGAAGAAGAGCAAATTATTCAGAGAGGTGTAGCGTCCAAAATAGTGACATGACATAACTCTTTGCAACCCGTCATCATGTTTAGGATGGGACCAATATGTAGTGATGCTACACGAAAATGTAACTTTTGGACAAGAAGAAATTCAAACAAAACTCACCATTTGTGCAGGCTTGTTTTTTTTGTCCCAGTATAATGCATGCTTGTTAATAGCAAAGACACCATAATATTTCAATAAATAATGTCGGGTGATTTATCTTCTGCTTCTAGCCTCAATGGTCAATATTAAAAAATAATACAATTGATTTTGCTTCCACTTTTCACCTTATGTGTAAATCTGCATCATAATAATAAGGGGAAACTGTCAATTTGGTCTTCGTACTTTCATGAAAAAGTCAATTCAATCCTCGTACTTTTAAAAAGATCAATCAAATCCCCGAACTTTATAAGAACATTCAATTGAGTCCATTTTGCCATGTCAACAGGTCATCCGCTAGCGTGGCGCTCATGTGGCAGCCCAATCAGTAATAATTTTCCTGACGTGGCACACATGTGGAAGTCCCATCAGCCTTTTTTTGATGACGTCGCTCATACGTGGACCGCCATGTGTGCGCCACATCATCGGGTGACCTGCTTGACATGGCAAGTAATTTTCAAAATGTACTCGATTGAACGTTTTTTCAAAGTTCAAGAATTTGATTGATTCTTTTAAAAGTACAATAACCTTATTGACTTTTTCGTGAAAGTACGAAGACCAAATTGACAGTTCTTCCTAATAATAATCCTCCAAAAATTAGAAAAATATCAAGTGAATTCACATTACCAAGAGGAATCAACTGAAGGTAATATAACTAAGTCAACTAACAATTCTTTAACTTGCGACAAAAACTCAAACTTTTTATAGTCATGGAATTAAAATAAGCCAATATTGTGACAACTCTTTTTTGTAATTTGTAAAGGATCTAAATATGAAATAAATATAAAAAACTAAATAAAAAGAAACCAAACAATAACCTTATCGATTATTGATATGACAAGAAAAACTTGAGTGCATTCTAAGCACAAATGGATGAAATAGAAAACACAACATTTCATCAAAAAAAAAAAAACCAGATATAAAAATAACAATGCTTGAAGTCTATTCACAATTGGGAACAAGCAAAATTAACAATAAACAATTAAAATTTGAAAAAAGGGTTTTATCATAAATTTCATGTTTCATGTTTGACTTTCATATTCTTCAATTTACCTTGGTGAAATCATTATAGATGCAAAAAGTAGCCAAAATCACCAGAAGGTGGAAAAAATAGACAGACTATTCCTTAAAACAACCCTTCGATAAATATCCATTTTAAGAAACATATAGATTGTCAAAAGGACGATTTTGTAATTGAATTTCACACTAAATTAACTGAAAAATAATCTAAAGAAAACAATCCTATTGTTCGCCACACATAGGTACTAAAATCACTCCACATAGACTGCAACACATTCTGCCATCACAATCTATGAAATATAATGGAAATGTGCAATATAGATGAATTTAGAAAAAAGTAGGATTTGAAAGCTGTTTTCGGTTAGTAATGTATAGGTTAAGTGATTTGGGTTTTTAGGGCAAAATGGTTTTAGAGCATTCCTTTTTGGTTTTTCAAACCGAAAATGGGACCCAAACCACCTGATTTGGTTCCCAAATAGGTGAATCAAGAGTGTAAATCAGGACCGTGAACCATTCTTGGGCGGACAGGGCCACTCATAGGCCCGAAACCGGAAATTCTAACCCGGTCCACTCCCAAATAGTGTCGGACCTGGTTTCGAACCGGGCCGGACCATCAGACAGAGTCCACCCCTAAGTTCAGTCATAAGGTTGTTTCATAACCTAATTCGCCACACTCATCTGTTTGTCATCGAACACAAGCCCTTGATCTTCTTCATCCTCAATGGGCAATGTTCTATACACACCCGCAAGAGATTGCACAATTTATGTTACAAGTGGAGAAGCCTAACCACTCCTGCTCAAGGGCATAGTTGGAGGAATACTAGGCCTCGGCCCACCCTAAATTTCAAAAATGATTTCAATTATAATGTAAACAGATTATATAAAAATATTATGTAAAATTCTCTATACCTTCCCAGCGCGGTGTATCCTGCCTACATCACTGTCATGATGCGTATTAACCACTGAGAAATTGTCGCCATTGCTGGGACTAGTCATAGCGGATGAATTATGGTATACTCTTTTAGAAAAGATATTACGAAAAGCCTAAAATGCAAAAGTAAAAAGACAGTTTGTTACTAACTATTTGTACTAAATGTAACACTAAAGAATAAGGGTAAATAATGAAAAAAGATGTTTCAAAATATCCAGGCAAAGAAGAATACTGAAAGGAAAAACTTAACTTCTACATGGGATAAGAAAAAACAAAATAAGTGAATTTTGTATAGGAGAGAAATAATATCACCAAAAAATTTGTCACTTTATAGAGAGTTTGTCAATAAGAAAAGTTGATAAACTTTAGGGAGAATGAATGAGTATTTTGAGAATTTGAGAATTTTAAGACCGTAAATGGTTATTATAGTGCGGTAATAACAATGAGCATTATATTCAGAAGTTGAAATTCTGAATCAAAGTGATTGTTGGTCTATTGTAGCTCCAAACAGCTATCTTCCATGACATAAAGCCTTCGGAATGAACTATGGCTGATCTAGTTCCTATTTTTGTATTCTGTAAATAAAGCACCTATTCATGTCTTACCCATAACTTTAAAAACATGTTTTAGTTCACTAATCCTTTGCCTTAAAATTATTTTTTTGACTCATAAATACATGCATAGAAATAGAGCAAATGAATATAAAAAGATAGTGGAACCTCAATTATTTTAAGTTGGCAATCTGTACTATGATGCTTAATAAGCTCACATCTCTTAAGATATCATAATCATGCTAAAACTGTAAAACATACTGTCAAAACAACATACCCACGCTTTATCCATTGTATCTAAGTTCTAACACATGTATGATATACCAAAACGGAACCCATCTACTTGAAACTTACTTTCTCTATCGAAAGATGATTTGTGCTTTTGCAGAAGCGCGAGGGAAGCTCAACAACTCCTCCTTTGACATGTTTAGAGCCTTAGTGACATCAACATTAGCACGTGATTCCACTATAACAACTTGTTTAAGTGTTGGAGATTTTGAAAGGACTGTTTTTATAAAGAAAACTTCGAGTCTGGTTCCACAATATGATTCCACCTTCAGCGTCTTAAGCATTTTCAAATCTTTTTTTATCAACCAATCCTCTGAGTCCTCTGGACTTCCATCATTTTCTTCGTTTTCTATAAAACAAAGCTGCACAACAACATTTAAAGAAAACTCAATTGTTAGTTATTAGCCTATAAGGAATTGGTTGGAAACAAAAACAGAAGTCACAATCACCAATCAACACGTTTTTTTCCAGTGGAGGGGAAGGGGGTTCTTACAATGTCATCTTCTTCTTGAACAATTTTCAGATTGCTTAGCTTTGGGCATTTTTGAATCAATAGTAGCGCAAAAATGAAATGCTTCCCCCAAACGAACTTGAACTTATCCAGCTCAATCATTCGGAGATTTAATGCAGCTGGCAACGCCAAGGCAATATCTCTATCCGTACACTATAAAAAAGTAGAAAAATAAAAATGCAAAAGGAACAAACATTTAACATTGAAACAGCTCCAAAGAGAGTAAAAAAAGATCAATAGCTATTACTAAAGAAAAATATTCTCACCGCAAATGAATGAGTAGACAGGACAAGCGCTTGAATCACTGGAAAATGAAGCTCAAACCATTTCCATTTATCAAATTTTGAAATAGGATAAACAATCAAGTTTTTCAGTTTTGGAGCTTTGATCACAAAATTGTGGATATCATCGCACAAATGGAAAGCCAGATGCTTAAGATTTGGAATGTCAAAAACAATCCCACTAACACTAGGCATAAACTCAACAGACTGAAATTCCAATGATTTGAGAGCAGGGAAAAATTTACTTGCTTTAGCTGGATAAGCAAAAGTGAAACCATCAAGTTCGAGGTGTATAAGTGTCGAAGACGAGATTATACAAACCGGTAGCTTTTTAGGTATAGGAGTGTGGAATGATTCAAAGATGGTGAGGTGAAGTTCCTCGATACCATTTCTGGACAGATAAATGCACCACCTATCGATATCAGATTGAAGCGGGGTTGGATGCCAAGAGGAAACCTCAAGCACAAACATCTTAACGGGTCCAACTCGGAGCATGAGAATGTGATTCATCACGCTGAAGGCGGCCGAGAAATCATCATCGTGGCTTAGGCACTGCGCAATCCATCCGAAGAACTCCTGATCAAACACAAGCCGGTCATGCTGCAACCAGACATTCTTCCATTGAGTTGAAGCAAGAGCCATTCGTGCAGCGTCTCGAGTGTCCAGAGACTCCATGATTCTGTCCTTTACATCATGTGGTAGTTGACTCATTAGATCCATACCAGGCTTGCTTCTGCGAGATCTATAAGTTATGATTTTGGACGCGGAAGCCATTCAAACATAAAGATGTTCGTGATAGACTGATGATAACGAAGAAGAATTTGTGGCGCGCGATAAATGAGAAGACAATTAAGGAGATTATTTGGAGGAATGGAGGAATTGGAGACTTAAGGAGATTTTTTTTTTTTTTTGAAATAAATTAAGGAGATTATTACTAAGATATAATTAGGTTAACAAAGATATAAATGGTAGACCGCAACACCAGATTATGGCTATGTTTGGTACAATTAGGTGAAAAGATCTTTTTGTGAGCTTTGTAGTAACTGTTAGCTTTTAATGACTGAAAAGATCTTAAAAGTAAAAGGTGGTAGCTGTTTGGTAAAAAGCTGACTGTTTGATTTAGTTCTGTTTGGCATACAAGTTGTTAGGATTTATTAAAGCTAAAAGTCACAGACTTTTCTCAGATGCTACTACCTGTAGCATCTCAAAAAAGAGCTTTTATTTTTTGAAAAGCTCTTAAAATTGGCGTGTCAAACAAACAACTAACAACTTTTAGAGACTTTTTAAATAGTACAAAAGCCAAAAGCTATAGACTTATGTCAGCCAAACATAGCCTATGTCGCCATTTTTAACTGCTGATTTCTAGTTTTCTAAAAAGAAACATAAGAAATAGAAATATTTTGGAAAAGTTTCCCAAATAGATACTACGTATAAATAAGGATGTTTTCTTTTAGACTGAAATTTGCTGGTCTGGTCTGGTCTGATCTGGTCTGGTAAAAGTCTGGTCTCCGTGTATTTTATAACTACGGAAATCTAGTTTGATCTGGTCTGATCTGGTCTAGTCAGATCTGGTCTCGTCTAGGACTGAAAACAATCCAAAAGAAAACACCATATGATTTGAAATTATAAAATAGAACACTTATGTCTACGAAATAAGAATAATCTGTCAATATTCACTGTCATCTTTTTTACCACCAAATAGGTGCAGTAATAGGCATTAAACATGACATTATTTACCATCTTTACTGTCATTAATTTTCAATCATGACGATTCCAATTCTTATTTCGTAAAGAAAAACATAGCAATCATATTTTGGAATTTCGATTTTTTTACTCCCATTTAGAAACAATTTTTCAAATAATTTCATTAATTTTTTTAAAGTAAATATTTTCTTTGAAATTAAAAAATCATTAATGAAAGTAAAATGTCAATTCAGATACCAGTGTCCCGAGAAAAAGAATATTAAGTACATAATTTGTATCAATATTTATAAATTATACGAGTAATAAAATCCATTAAAATTTTAAACTTTACTTTCTATATAAATTCTTTAAGTCTCATGCTCCTAATATAAAATGGGTAGCTCACCCAATGTCTGAAAATACTACTATACTAGTATGCCGACATTCAAACGGTTCATAACATTGGCTCCTATATCAGACTCTTACTCTACACATGATATTCAACATGTGTCATGCATTTTATACACTAAAATCACAAGTATACAATAAATTAAAAAAATACGAAGTACAACATATTCTGTATGTTACAACAACGTATGTTTGTGCGCGCACACAATTTCGACCACTTTCTGATAATTAACAAACGTATGTTTGTGCGCGCACACAATTTCCACCACTTTCTGATAATTAACAAATAGCATAGTACCAACACACACATAAAACCACAAAAAAATCACAACATAAAAAACTACAAAACTCATCATCTTACACAACACATACACACTCTACTCATATGCTCAAACATTTTATTCAATAAAACATACTTCCTCTGTGCCATTTAAATTTTTACGCTTTTCTGTTTGAAACATCTCATTTAATCCTTTACGTTTCCTTTTTAGCCAACTTCCTTTACATTAAATGTCCTAACTACCCTCACCATCCACTCACTTTTTACATTTCAGTGGATAGTATTAATTCCCCCAAAAGTCAAAAGACATGCAAGACACTTGTTCTTCTATTAATTGAGCTCCTAAAATATCGTGCCAAATGCAGACGTCAAGTACTCAAGTACTATCCGGGATGAAGGAAGTACAATTTAAAATTTACACACAACTCATATTTTATTGCTTCATTCAGGTTCAAACAACTAAAAACAGATCATCTTATACAACACATACACACACTACTCATATGATCATACATTTTAGACATTAAAAAATGACTCGTATACAGTATAAAAATACAACATACTCCCTCCATTCTGATATAATTGCAACATTGCAACACTAAGGTTTGGCACAGAAATGAAGAACCACCCGACTAACTTAGGGAGTGTTTTGCGATTGCTTGTACTTTTTAAAAGTGGATTTTTAAGAGATTATTGCAAAAGTGATTTATAGTAAAGATAAGTATGTTTGGGAATAGAAGCGATTTTAGTTAAAATGTAAAAGATAAAGTGTTTGATAAATTCTGCACATAATCTTCGTCTTCTTCCCCAGTACAGCGGCAAGAATTGAGAGCTTAAGAAAGGCACTGTTGGAGCACCGTTAAAATCCATGTCACCCTAACAATTCACTGTTGGGGGATGGGATGATAATTGATGAATCCGAATTCCCAATGGCAAAGGTTTGGAGGATGGATAGATGGGGTAGATGGAGATGATGAGAGTCCAGCATGAGAGTCATCTTCACTCCGTAGCTCTCAGGCCGACATCTCCGTTGCGTCTAGATTGGACTCCGCCAGGTCAGCACTGTTGCTTACATAGTAATGACGATGATTATGATCAATACTACTATTATTAGTTATTACTACAACATATGTCATATATAATAATATAATACCAAGAAATAATTATATATTTACGACTAAAATAAAGCTTGTTTCATAATCTATTTAAGTTAGGGATGAAGTCGAATCGGTCCGATCCCAGTTCCATACCGAGACCGTCCGGTCCAAAAAAACAATTGGTTGGCCCGGTACCAACCTAATATTTACCATGTTTGTGTTTGGATCAGTACTGGTACCCTGGCAGTCTGGTTTCAGTTGCGGGTCTAGACTAGTTTTATTTTATTTTTTTGGTTTTTTCCGGATTCCAAACCTAAAAGAATAATCGGCTAATCTAAGACCGGAAATGAGACCGGAATTGTTTAAATATACTATTAATTATTATTGTTCGATATTGAACAAAACATCAATAGATTAATTGTACTTTTTAACATTTGAATAATGGATGAAATATGTCGTTAGTAACACCGATTTAGTATATTTTGTTAGTCTATGATAATTTGGTGTATTGAGAGACATGCATGATAATTTACCGATACCGTACTGCTACCGAACCGAAACTTTGGTAAGGTAACGGTATATAAATTCAGTATACCGAAAGTTTTGGTAGGATAAAGGTATGAGAGAAAATATACGGTATACCGTACCGAACCATCCTATACATACTAACGACTAATGGTGAATTGGGTTGACATGGAACTGCTTTTGGCTTTAATATACTGAACTGTATATCCATTGCCTTGCATGTTGACTGGGGACTTTAACCATCGGGTAGTCAGTGCGGCAGTGCGGCCCATCGAACAATCCACGTGTCTACCGACAGGCTGGATCATTCAGCACAAATGTACTCCCTCCGTTCTTTTTTAAATGAAACATCGGACTTTTTCCAATATTCACGTGTTCTACTTTGACTCTATTTTATTTATTAAAGTATTATAAATTAAATTTTAAAAAAAATATTGTAAACAGATTATATAAAAATATTATGTAAAATTCTCTATACCTTCCCAGCGCGATGTATCCTGCCTACATCACTGGTCATGATGCGTATTAACCACTGAGAAATCGTCGCCATTGCTTGTCGCCATTGCCGGGACTAGTCGTAGCGGATGAATTGTGGTATACTCTTTGAGAAAAGATATTACGAAAAGCCTAAAATGCAAAAGTAAAAAGACAGTTTGTTACTGACTATTTGTACTAAATGTAACACTAAAGAATAAGGGTAAATAATGAAAAAAGACGTTTCAAAATATCCAGGTAAAGAAGAATACTAAAAGGAAAAAACTTAACTTCTACATGGAATAAGAAAATACAAAATACGTGAATTTTGTAGAGGAGAGAAGTAATATCACCAAAAAATTTGTCACTTTATAGAGAGTTTGTCAAAATAAGAAAAGTTGACAAACTTTAGGGAGAATGAATGAGCATTTTGAGAATTTGAGAATTTTCAGACCGTAAATGGTTATTATAGTACGGAGTAATAACAATGAGCATTGTATTCAGAAGTTGAAATTCTGAATCAAAGTGATAGTTGGTCTATTGTAGCTGCAAACAGATATTTTCCATAACATAAAGCCTTCGAAATGAGCTATGGCTGATCTAATTCCTATTTTTGTATTCTGTAAATAAAGCACCTATTCATGTCTTACCCATTGAACTTTAAAAACATGTTTTAGTTCACTGATCCTTTGCCTTTTAAAATTATTTTTTTGACACATAAATACATGCATAGAAATAGAGCAAATGAATATAAAAAAGATGGTGGGACCTCAATTATTTTAAGTTGGCAATCTGTACAATGATGCTTAATAAGCCCACAACTCCTAAGATATCATAATCATGTTAAAACATAATGTCAAGACCACATACTCATGTTTTCTCCATTGCATCTAAGTTCCAACACATGCATGATATATCAAAATGGAACCCATTTACTTGAAACTTACTGTTACTACCGAAAGACAATTTGTGCTTTTGCAGAAGCGCAAGAAAAGCTCAACAACTCCTCCTTTGATATATTTAGAGCTTTAGTGGCATCAACATTAGCACGCGCTTCCACTATAATAACTTCTTTAAGTGTTGGGGATTTTAAAAGGATTGTTTTTATAAATAACACTTCGAGTCTAGTTCCACAAAATGATTCCACCTTCAGCGTTTTAAGCATTTCCAAATCCTTTTTTATCAAACAATCTTCTGAGTCCTCTGGACTTGCATCATTTTCTCCGTTTTCCATAAAACAAAGCTGCACAACAACATTTAAAGAAAAACCAATTCTTAGTTATATAGCCTACAAGGAATTGGTTGGAAGGAAAAACAGAAGAAAAAGTCACCAAATCAGCACGTTTTTCCTATGGAGGGGAGGGGGTTCTTACAATGTCATC